TCTTGCTCATGTGCTTCCAGCACAGGATGAGGGGGACACTCACAGCCTGGCTCTCCTCTGCTCCTCACCCATGTTTTAGCAACACAGTACTTACAGGACATCCACTGCTGCACTGGACGTGCCAACTTGACTGACAGGGTCAGAAGTTGTGGGGGCGGAAGGACAGATACACGCTTGCACATGCAGATCATGACTGATGCTTCATTTCCTTATAAAAGCAGGAGAAAAGCAGAAGTCTTCCTGGCAATTCAGTAGAAATGAAAAATGCATTCATAGCATTACTGGCATGGTTTTCAAGTTGCTGTTAAAATTCCAGTTACATTATGCTACCTCCATCCTCAGAGTCTTCTGTGTTTTCAAGCAATACATTAAACTGTCTTTTAGCAGCTGCCTGCCAAGGGGAAATTAAGGTTTTGACATCTGACCTGTAAGGAAGGATGTGTGGCATTTGGAGCTACCCAAATAAGGATTTTAGTTGGATGCTAAAACAAGCTGTGTTTTTAACAGTTAACTATTTTGACGCTGTTTTCGTGTCATGGGAGTTCAAAGAGGAGACTCTGGTCAGGTGAGTAAGGCAACCCCAGCCCATAGAGTTCAAGTTTGCTTGGAGCCACATTCTTTTCACAGCTCTCCTTCCCTTAGGAAAGGTCACTTTGTACTGGCATGGACTGAAAAAACACATTAGTTTTAAAAAATAAATGAGATTCCAAAGCAGGACTCATTAGCTAGCAGTGGGTTCTGAGACATATCCCACTAAATTAGTACAGGTATCCCAACAACAAAGTAATACTACAAACACAACTGAACTCATTGGCCAAGGGAAAAAAAAATTCTCTTAACTGGTCAGCTTTGAACAGTGGCTCAAGAAACGTTTTTTCAGAGTGGAACAAGTTTTATTCCTAGGATCTTGTCTCCATTAGGAGAAAATATGTTCTTCAACTATTCTCATAGCTTGGGCAAGACAGTCTAGGGCATTTGCTGACATAATTGAGATCTGCCCTGCTGCACCTCTTAGCGTAAGTTCCCACCTGGAAGCAGCACTTGGCATCCTGCTGGGCACCCTGCTGCACCTTGAGCCAGTTCAGGTCATTGAACTGACACTTGTTTTCTAGAGCTAGCTTGAAGCAGGACTCCTGAACCAGCCTGCTCTGACATAAGGTGAGAGCTGAACCAGCAGAAGAAAGGGCAAAGGACATGGGAGCTGAGAGTTGGACAATACCACACAAGCCCCTGATTCCAGGTCATCATGGCTAGAACAGAAGGCAGGACCCCCACCCTCTGGCTGAGACTGGAAGGTTTGAAAGACCCCAGTGCTACCCAAAATGCCACCTAAAATGCCTCTCAAATCACACTACAAGACCTTATATGGCCACTTATGTCTACAAGACCCATATGGCCACCTTAGACCTGTTCTGAATAGAAGGTGGCTTCAGGGGCAGACATTTTCTGCCAGGACACAGACTAACACAATGAAAAGACAGTCCTCACTCTGCTCCCTATGTCCTGGAGGACCTTGGACACATAATTTACTCCATCTGCAAAACACTGTGATAATCTTGCTGAGGTGCTGAGAGAATAAACACACTCAAGACCAGCAGGAGCTCTCTGAGCTCTGCACACCCAGTAACAACGCTGTCCCCAGGTCAGGCGGTTCCAGTCGGAAGTATGGGAATTTGTTACACCATGACCTGCAACAAACTGCAATGGAACATGGTCGAGAGGCACCAAAACTACCTAAAAGGCCCTGATCCCTGTAGATGCTGAATCTTCACCTCACTCCCACCACTGATGGGGGTTGATGCACTCGCCTCCCCGGGGAGGGCAGAAGTTCTCAGACTGATTTCCACAGACTGCTGCTATTTTGTTCCAACATTCCCAACATCTCCAAAATACCCAAAGCCTCTTGTGCAATGAGCAACATCCCTTGCTTCTTAGCTACATGGTGGTTTATGTTACTTTCCGCCTACAACCATTTCAGGATTGGCTTTACAGACCTTAGTGGAAGACTAAACAATGCTGGAGCCATAGCAGGAGAATTTGCAGAGTTTTATTCCTTGTTTCATTTCGGCAATCCTTCTGCCTCTCATCAGGGACAAAAAAACTTGCCAACCTCTTAATTTAGGAATAGCACGAGCTCTGCATTCCAGTCCTGAATCAGCCAAAGGAGCCTTTTCAAGCTGGAAAGGGGAAAAAGGGTAAATACCTTTAAGCACATTTAAAAAGGAGAAAAAAAAAAAAAAAAAGGCACCACAAAACCAACCACACCAAAAAACCCTCAACACCTGCTTTTTGCAGGCAAAAACTTGCTCTTGGGGCACTCTTGAAACTGGCTTAACATCAGCATTTGAAAGCAAATTCCAGTCCCTGCTCTTTTGGGTGCCAGAGTGCTTTCCTTGTCACTGTTTAGAACGAAAAGCAAACCCAGCTCCCTCATATATATGTTTAGCAAGCAAGTGCAGATGGGATCAAAGATGACAGTCTGAAGGGAAGAGTATCAAGTGAAGCTGGCAGATTCGGATTTTGTTTTTGTTGTGGCTTTGGTTGGGATTTTTTTTTTCCTAATGGCTACAATAACCTGTTAAAAGTTTTGTAATCTGAAGAGCGCAAACCCTTTTCTGGATGTCCAAGCTGCTCTGCCAAGACATGCTCAACTGTGAATATTCCAGCTGCATGTTTCACATCACGCTGGTTAAAGATGTGCCAGTATTTTTATTATTCACCCCCTATGGATATTACAGAGCACCACATACATTATAGGGTTTTTAAAGTGTGCTATTTATGTGTGTATTATCCACAGAGATACAACCAAATAAATCACAAGCATTGTAAAGGAATAAAGATAATCCAATTAAGCAAAATGCTGAGTGAAGTTAACATAATTCTGAATTAAAATCTATAAAGGAAAAAAAAAAAAAAAAAAAAAAGCACAAACTCAGAAAATCACCTCTCAGCCCATCACTGCAATGCCCTCCACCCACCCCAGCTTAAGCCTGGAAGTCAGTGCCAAATTCCTTAAATCTAAATGCCCTTGGCTTCTTCTGGAGAGTCTAAAATTTATTCCCTTGTCACTCATATTCTGTAGTCAAGGAAGATTTTGCATCAACGATGTTCTCCAGAGTCCTGGCTCTGCACAGCCCTTCACAGCTGGGCAAGGGAGCAAGGACAGGAGAGGGGACAGGAGAAGGGACAGGAGTGGGGACAACAGCAGTTGCAGCCTGGCTGTGTGAAGCAGCAGCTTGAAACGTGCAAAGTTCTCCGTGCTGCTCTTTTTCCTTTACTCCGCTCTCTCCATCTCTCCTCCTCGAGCGGAGGTACCCCGAGGAGCATGCACAGGTACCTGGCTGCATTCCCATCCTCACAGAGAGGGAAGCCAAGAGGTACAGCCCGGTTCAGAGCGCTTTTAAATCAAGCCTCAAGAGGGAAAGGAGGGAATTCAAAGTCGTGCTGCTGAACTAGTTATGCAAACAGGGTCAAGAGCCCAAGTCACAGCCAGGGGAGCAAAACCAGCAAGGCAGCAGAAGTCAAGGAGGAGTGATTACAAAGGAGAAAGTGCCGGTGTCTATTTCCAGAGCTGATTTGTCAATTCTCAACATCCCACGGAAAAGGAAAGAGCTTGCAGTCGATCACACGGGAGAGGAGGCATTAATAAAACCCAGGACTGCTGTACCGGCAACCCGAAGAGCGCTCCCTCCCACGGCAATCACAGCAACAGGTCAGCAGCCTGTTGGTGTCCCTGTCCCCGGGCTGTGCCCCGGGAGGCACTCCTCTTGTCCCTGCACCCAGTTTCCAGAGCAGGGGGACCTGAGGGGGCTGGCAGAGGTCACCTCATCTCCAAGGTGGACTCTGCTGGAAGGGTGGCCATAGGGAACAGGTTCCTCACATAGCAGGGCCACCGCAGTCCCTCAGCTGTGGGGGTACTGTGGGGGTTCCCACCAGGCAGTACACGGTCCTCCCGCACCACCTCTCTCTTTATCTTTGGGGCATCCATCACCCTTCAGGGTGGTTTTACTCCTCCACCAAACACAAATCTGAATATTCGCTTCTCTCTGCTCCCCATCCCTCAGCTGTATCTCCCCAAAGTTCATGCTTATCTGTTCCCATGGTGGATTTTCTCCCCTAAAAGACCCCAACCTCCAGCCTGCCCCCTGGAGCAGTCCCTCCATTCCCCCCACCACCCCCCACCTCGTTATATTCCACCCCTGGGGTTCTTGCCCCTTACAAAGGAAACCTCTCTAACCCCCGAAGTAACTGCACCCCCAAATACCCCATTTTGCCCATCTCAGGGATGCTCTCATGCTTTGTCCCCCCTCCAGCGCCCCTTTCACTCCCTCCCTCTTTGTGCTTCCCTGGACTTACTCTCGCTCCTCTCCCGCAGGGATTCCTCATGTCAGCCCTCCCGCGGGATTGCTCTGCCCCGGGAGGACCCCCTTGAGATCACCCTTTAGGGCTCCTTTGTCCCCTGGACGTTCCGGCACCCCGGCGCTGCCCCGGCACATGTTCCCGAGTGCGCGGTGTCCAGCGCCCACCTGTCCCCAGTGCCCGGTACCCGGTGAGCGATGCACGGTGCACTTGTCCCCAGTGTCCGAAGCCCGGACGGCGGTCCCCAGTCCCAGGTCCCCGGCGCGCAGTGCCCGGTCCCTGGCGCGCCGCGCAGAGCGCTCGGTGCCCCATCCCCGGTGCGCGGCTGTCGGCGCGCCGTGCCGGACCCGCGGAGGCCGGGGCCGGGCGCTGCTCACCTGCGGGGCGCTCGGCGCTGGCGCCGTACTCGGCCGTGTCGCGGCGGCGGGCGCAGGTGCCCTGTCCCTGCACCAGGGCTTGCAGGGGCAGCTCGGCGCCCGGGTCGGGGTAGCAGCGTAAGCCGGCGGCGCAGCGCGGCGTGTAGACACCGCACGCCTCGGCCTCCAGGCGGGCGCACACCGGGCAGCAGCCGCAGCCCGGCTCCCGCACCAGCTCGGGGCAGGGCGGGCGGGCGGCCGGGGGGCAGGCGGCCAGCCGGCAGGTGGACGCGCCGCTCGGCCCCCCGGCGGGGCGGCGCGGGGCGGAGAGGAGAGGAGCGGAGAGGAGCGGAACCAGGCGGCGTGGCACAGCACGGCCCGGCGAGGCACAGCACGGTACGGCACAGCACAGCACGGCTCGGCTCGGCGCGGTATCGGGCTGAGCGGAGCTGAGCGGGGCCGGGCGCGCCGCGCCGCCGCTGGGTCCTAGAGCCGCCCCCGCGCCCGCCCCCGTTCCCCTGCGGGGGTCGGGGCTGTCCCTCCGGTGGGGAGCGGCGATCAGCCCCAGAGTGGGCTGGGGCCAGCCGCACCCAGGATTGGGGATGACCCAGAGAGGAACTGGGGAGTCTCGACCCCAGTACGCGACACGGGTCGAGGCCCTGCTGTAGTGGGAGACACGATCTCCCTCTGGGGATGGGGGTCTGCCCCGCTGAATACGGCGGGGCTAAACTGGAAGGGAGTCAAGACCCGCCTCACAGAGACACCTTGTACAGGGAGGATGGAGATCCCACTCCACCGGAGTGTGCCTCACAGCAACACCCAGTGCTCGGAGAGGGGGAACTGGGTGATCTCCACACCCCAAAAACGAGGGGAGCTGGGGGTTAAACAAGGGCCCACTCTCACCCTGCTGCCACAAAAGTGCCAGGCCTGACACAAGCAGCTTCATTGCAGTCCAGGTGCCACCATGGGCATGGGGGCCAACACCTGGACTCTGGGACAGTCCCAACACTCAGTTGCTCACCAAATGTTGGTCCTGGGAGCCACCATGCCTCCATAGGAACAGGACCCTGCAGTTGGGAGAGACCTCTTGAAGACCCAGGGCTCCATGCCCATAGGGATGCCCCATGTCTTCAGCCTGGCTGCCCACAGGGTATTTTACCTCCTGATCCAATTGCAGCTGACTCAGCACCTCCCGTGTGGCACTGCCTCACGAGGCTGAACAAAATTGGGGTACAACCAGAAGCACACAGACAGAGGTCTCTGAGCTTTGGGGATTTGGTATGAAATGCCCATTTTAAACCCTATCACACTCCTGCTCCGGCTGCTCAACTGCCACAGGCTGCACAGAGGATTTTAACTACAAGGGGTATTACATAGAGGTGACTTTTTCTGTAACAAAAAAATAGTAACAGCAAAGTCAAGGGAATGCAACTGAGCTAAAGAAGCTGGAAAAATTAGTTAATATCTTTGTGGGGTGTATGGTTAGAGTCAGGCACTGAGGCAGTCTGTGTTCCCTCAGCCACAGGAAAAATGACAGCTTTGGAGCATTTAAAATTTGCTGGTGTAATTTTCTGTTGTTCTGGTTTTATTTTTTTTTCAAATTAAGAAAAATGCAGAATGCTGCTGTTGACAACTCGCACGACACAACTTTTGGCACAGGATTACTCACGGCTCTGGAGTTATACAACAACATGTTTGTTTGTTTGTGAGATTGACGACTGCAGGGTTGGTTGATGGACTGCAGCGTTCAGCGTGCTCTGTGAAATCTGTGATACATCCTGGGACTGAGTATGCAGTCCCATTCCAGTCCCTGGGTCTTCCCAAACAATAACTCAGATTTCACAAGAGTTTAATCAAGCATGGTCAGTTTCTCTGTCTGCCCATCATGCTGCAGATACCTTGCCATAGTGGAGGCACCCTAACTTGCTTTAGTTTTTAAAACACACCATTGCTTGTTTGCACCTTGCTTAAGCTGGACACTTATGTTAACCAGCCCCATTTCACTTTGGAAAGTATCCACTTGGTTTTGGGGTCCCTGTGGCAGCAGCACTCATTGCTCCGAGTGCAGGAGACTGAAATTCCAAGCCAACTAACATGTTCCCCTGAAATTACAAACAAATAATGGAGAGATTTTTATTCTACTTCATGTTACAAAATATCTTTTTATATTACAGAACCCAAATTTTAGCCTGGGCAACTTGAGAAAGTCTCTTCCAGAAGACAAAAAGAAAAATAAATACAGTAAAAAAACCCAGCACAGGATTTGCAATTGTTACTCCCACAAATCTCGAAGTGGGAAAATGGGATGCACAGCCCTGCATACCAACAGCCCCTCAAAAGCCTCCCTTTTAAACAGATTTCCCAGCAGATGTTCAATAGAAAATGGAGCAAATTATTTTCACTGCACACTTACAACTTCTCTGGGATAGCGGGAAGGAGGCTCTCGGTACCTTTTTTATGATCTGCTGTTGACTTCACTAATGACTCACATTTGGTTCCAATGAGATATTTTCATATGACTAATGAATCTATATTTGGAGGCGTAAGAGGGTTTGGCTAATTATCTGTTGCAGTCAGTTAAATATTCCAAGTATTCAAAGTAGGTTTTCTTCCAGTGGTAAATGTTATGCCCTCACAGTCTGTCTTCTGGTGCTTTAAAAGAGCCCAGAACTTTGACTCTCACCAAGCTGACATCTGGGTTTCTGCATGTGTAAGCACAAGGGATGGCCTGAACTTAATTATACAGCAAACCAATCCTGTGTTTTTTAGGTGGCCAATAGGTCATTGCCCAAGGGACGATTTAAACCCGATTTTTCAACACGCACTTGATGCTTGCAGCGGCCCATTTTGCTGGGGGCATTTACTGGGGTGCCATTAATAACTCCTGGCAGGGGCAAATTCCTTCTAAGCGCCGTTGTGTAGGCTGCCTGTGCACAAATCATTTTTCCACAGGGAGGGCTCGAAATCTGATGAGAGAAGGGAAGGTAGAGAGGAGGGGGAGGGAAGGGGCTCCGCTGGCTCAGCTGCCTGAATTGCAGAAGGACATTAAACATAATGATCCTGTAGGGAAAGAAACCGTACTTAGCTCAGATGTGGGAACGAGCCAGGATTTCCTGTTCATATGCCTCTTTAGTAGGTGCTCGGGCTGTTCTTCTTTTATCACCGTCATTTTCTTTGTCTGCCACTAAAGCAATAACACCGGTGCAGATACAATGGATCAGATGTTCCCCCTGCCCCTGCTGCTGCAGCCCTGGGCTGGGAGACCTCTCTGTGCTGCTCTGCAACTCCAGCAGAACAATAAAGAAGATTTTACAGCTGTTATGGGGATGGGGGAGGCGGGGAGGCAGAGGGAAACAGCTTGAGTGCCCGTGGCCAGCTATAATTTCTCCAGTGGGTCTTTGCTGACAGTTTTAGGATTAACAAGTGAGCTCTGTTCCCAAGCATTTACCCCTCTGGATAAGCTGGCCTGTTTGTTCTCAAGGGTTTATTTTACCCTACAAAATATGGCATTGCCAAACAGATGTAGGCTTGTTCCTAGAAAGGCAAGTTATAGCTGAAGCTGCATCTCACACAGGCTTTAGCCCTTGGAATTGTTTGGAAATGCTACAGTATTCTCTGACCCTTTTCAGGGCAGTTTTTTCCCACAGACGTGCTGGTTGATTCTTTTATAGCTCTGTCCTTTGTCAGGGATGAATTAGGAAAAATAAACTCACAAACAAAAAGTGGAGGCCCAGCACGGAGATCCTCTTGCTACCAATGATTAAGAAGTATTTTACAGCTCTGAGTGTGTGGGGGGAGAAAACAAAGTGCCCTTCTGCCTTTTTCTTTCCCTCTTTTTTTCTTCATGGGTAATGGGGCACGGGGGAGGGGGGAAAGAAAGGAAAAAAAAAAAAGTCGAGAAGATTAAAACAGTGTTGTAATTATTTTTAAAGTCCTCCTTTTCAGTAGACTGACACAAAGTGCTTTATGGTGGGTGCTAGAGAAAGTCTCCCGAGTCCCAGAGGAGCAGGTGATGACAAAGGGGAGGCTGTGAGGAGGAAGGCTGGGATTGATGTATTTGCACCTCCACTTTCTGTTTGTGAGTTTATTTTTCCTAGTTTATTCTTGACAAGGGACAGAGCTATAAAAGAATGTTGCCTTCTCCCTGGAGATTCAGTGAAGCTCGGCCATGAGTAAAAGGTATTATTGGGAGGTAGGAATTGCCTCTGGCTCACAGTGAAGCACATCAGAGTACGATGACAGGGAGTCTTCCCTCCTTCATCCCCCATTCCTTCCCAGGGGGTGCCAGGGGAGCATGAGCAAGGCCAGAGTTAGTAGCAGGGGCAGAAGAAGCTCTGCCCTGTCCTCTGCCCCTGGAGAGGGGGCCTTTACTCCCCCTCAAAAGGAACACTAAGCCTGAAAATCCAGGCTGTTGGATCCAGCCATGGAATTTGCTCTCTGTCCCTCCTTCCACACTCCCCAGGACTGTAGGTCCCAGTGCTCCAGCCCCATGCTGCCTTGACCTGCCTTCAGGCACCCCACTTCAGTAGCTTTGCTCATTGAATTGGGGTGGTGCAAGTGAGCTCAGCAGAGCCCTGCAGGGAGGAGGGAGGCACTGGCAAGACCCTCTTGTTCCGTCCTGCCCAGAGCTGCTGCCCAAGGCAATCACACAGTAAACAGCAAGCTTTCGAGGAAATAAACGAATGGCCCAGAACTGAGTTCCCAGCATCACATCTTTTCCCCAAAACTCATCAGCGTGTTTCACACTTCCATCAGCACGTTTCACACTTCCATCAGCACTTGTTCTCTGGAGCCTGGTTGGCTCCCGTGCAAGGGTTTCAGGTACCCCACAAGCTCCTGCAGCTCTGATCCACACCCATAGCTCTGCTGCTCCGCAGGTCACACTCAGAGGTAGGTCTGGGCCTGCCTGATGCCCCAGGCAGCCCCCTCCATCCTCACATTGTTTTCCCCAGGTGCATCAGCAGAGCCAGGGTTCAGATGTCAGCAGAAGGGTCAATTATAGGCCACTTTATTTACATTCACCCTATCTGAAATGTTTTTAGAGCAGCCCTTGCATTATCTTTGAGCCTGATCCAGTAATTATGAATGCTTAGGAATGGTCCAGGCTAGTTTGTTTAGGTTTCTCCAGCACTGATTAGAGATTAGCAGAGCTGAAACCACCCATTAGCTGGAAGGCATAAAGCAATGGTGATTCTCATGCTAAGGGGCCAGGTGCTCATTACTTACCCATCTCCCAGGCACTACTGCTCTCCTGCAGGGGTGCAGAGCAGAGAGGCAGGGTGTCACAAGTTTGTCTGGTCTGCAGTTGTCATACAGAGCAGAGGCCATCCCAGTAATCACTCCTCACTCATCCCTAAGCTTCCATTAAAGATACCTTCATTAGTTGCAGGTGTTTAAAACACTTTGAAACCAAGCAGCAGACCAGGAGGAGGTAAGGAAAAAAAGGTTCAATATTGACCTAGGTAGATCAGGCACAGTGACTTGGCTTCTAGGGATGATCAGACAAAAGCAGAGAGGATTTTTATGGAGACTGTCCTTGGTTTCTGCAGGTACTAGGGCTAGTTGCTCTTGGAAGAGGACCTGGCAAGGAGACGTAGCTGAGGGAGAGGAAGGAAGAGCCAAGGTAGCAGTGCATCTTTGCAGAGATATTCCTACTTTAAACAAATCTGTTTGAAGTAGGCCTTGGGTGGCTAAAGGGCCTAGTACTGTACACAGCTTCTTTATTGCAGTGTCCCAGTGGCAGTTCTCAGGACATCAGTAGAAGTGACTTGTTTACAAAGACCCTAAATTTTCAGTGGTTTTACAGGCATCACAAAATTCCAGCTGTAACTTAGAGGGAATGGGGACTAGTACTGTTTATATTTGGTAACTAACAGCCCTTACCAAGGACCTGTTCTTTTGGCCTCAGAGACCTTCCCTCTCCAGACCACTCAACCATAATTTCCCTTCAGTAGTAGGAATGCTCCTGAAATCTCACATGCCTGGGCGTAAGAGCAACCACAATCCATACACCTACCGAGTCTTCCAATGATCCATGGTTTCCATGGGGATTTAGATCCCAAGATAAAAGTTAGATTAAAAATCCATTTGTTTCAGTGAGTCCAGATGATAAAGGGTCCAGCTTCTTGGAGAGGGCTGGGACAGCCTCCCAGCCCTTGGAATAGCAAATGGACAGTATCCCCCTGATAGATATGAGAACCCAAAGATCCTTTTGACATTTGCATTGACAGGCTTCCTGTCAGTGCCTGGTACCCCTTGAGCAGGGCAGCAGGATGAAAGCATTTCAAAGCACACATAGATGCTTAAGAATTTTGTTAGCAGCATCAGCCAACATTTCCACTTGCTTTGTATTTGCTGTTGGAAAAGTAATAACAGCTTTGGAGAACCTACTCAGGAGAGAAAACAGCTCTTTTCTAAGCACCATGCTGGGATACTGCTTTGAGTAACAACATTGCATGCAGGAATGGAGTGGAAAGGGGCTGCAGCCCCAGGGAGAGAGGGATTGCTTACATGAGTCCACAGAAAGTGCTTGGATGGAACAGGATGAAGTAAAGGAAAGTGTAGTGTGACTACATATTAAGAAAGGACTCCAGCTGCTGGTCTCTAGCTGCCTATGTCAAAGCCTCCTCAGGGAGGTAACTTTATTTGTCTCATGGGACAAATAAAACAAGTACTGGAAGAAACACAGGGAACAGTCGTGTTTTGGCTGGGGCAAGACAGGCCATTCAGATCTTGACTCAGAGCACAGCGCTCTCCTAGGGCAAGAGAAGTGTTTGAAGGTACACTGACATTTATGTCTAGCACAGGAAACCCCAGCACTAAAAGTCCCCTGGCTGTTGAAGAAAGGAGCTACTCCAGGACTAGGGAACACACCGGACTGCAGTGCCTTTAACCCCCTACTAACCTCTTAAACAAGAATTTCTCCAGTCCCATTTCCCTGGCCCTGGGTCTACACCTCTCTTGACTCATTTCTGGATATGGGGCCAAGGCAGAGGAAGATGGAGCCAAGAGCTGAAGGGACAGAGCATCTTGCAGGAAGAGGTCATAATCCTACAGCTCTCCAAGACCTAGATAAACTTTATCCCACCTTTGACCCTGTTCAGTAGCAGAAACACTTGTAGAGGACCTTGGGGCAACACTAACTCTACCCTTCTGCCTCCAAGACAGAACCCCCTGTCCTCTTCAGCAGCAGCACAGGAGAAAGACTGAGGAGCTAGCCCTGTAGAAAAGTGTCCAGGGGCCAGCAGAAAAGCACAGGGCCTCAACTCACCCTATTTAATCATGTGCTTTAAAGCACACTACCTGTCAAGACAGGTGTGGGAGGGGATGATCTGGATGATCTCATCTGAGGGTAGCACAATGAGCCCTCCTGCACTGGTGCAGCCCTGCTGAGACAGCCAGGCAGCCTGAGACACTCCTACAGCAGTGAGTCTTTCCATTTCTTCAGTATGTTTATATGTACCAGCCTATGAACACAAGCACTGACATGCAGCCCACAAGCAAGACCCCTTTGCAACATTCTCTCCAAGCATCACTGCTGGTTTCTGGCTTGCTTCTCTGGACCCTCGCTGTGACAGAGGAGGAGCTGCACTAACAAACTCTTCACTTTCCTGCTGATGTGGACGCCCTGCCAAAGAAAAGGCATAACTAAAGTAAGAAGGTTGGGCCACCACTGCCCAAGGCTGTATATTCCTTCCATCCCAAGAAAAAGTCCCCTAGTAACTCCACAAACCAATACCTCCAGGAATCCTCCACCTAAAACAAACAGAGGCTGTGCAGAGCACACTGTTCAGCTACAGACTTACAGAGCTCCCCTTCAGAGCTGCAAAAGGTTGCTCAGCATCTGTTCTGATCCAGTTTTGAGTGTCTCCAGCCACTCTGGGCTAAATCACTTTCCCTATGAAATTCTTTTCTTTTTATTGAGACAGAACTTCCCTCACACCAGTTTGCCCCTATTGTTTCTTGTCCATTTGTGGTGTCTCTCTGAGGAAGAGACCTGCTCCATCCTCTCTGAACCCTCCCTTTGGAGAGTCAAACACAGCAATTGGCTCTTACCCTCTCTTCTCCACATTGAACAAACACAGCCCACAGCCTCTCTTCATCACTTGCCATCACATGCTAGTAATTAACCAGACCTTTTATTAAAGATTCTTGTATCTCATTCAGCAGTAGAGCATTATTTTAGGTTTATAGCTCTGTGTCTATTTCCAAGAATATTTTACTGGCCTGATGTACAAAGATGCTTAAACCTTAAAATGAAGTAATCTCTGCTGCAGACCAAAGCTTGCCAATTAACCCTTCACACAAAATCATTACAGCTAAAATCTCAACACATGAGCACCAGTGTAGCTCAATGGAAGGGCAGGGGGCTTTTAGGAAGATAGCAGGAGGGATCCAGATCATGGGTTTGCCTGGACATCAGAGCTCCATGAGCCAAGCTCTATCATGTTGCTTTGAAAGCAAGCAGACATTAAAGCTGAGGATGCTCCCACTCAAATAAACTAAATTTGGATTTTAAACACAGTCCCACTCTGCAAAGCAGCTCTATAAAAATGTCATTGTGGGACATCCTGTTTATTGTCTCTCACAGATTCCAGATGAAACCCACCCACCAGAGAGAGCTGTTTTCTAATGAGCTTTCTGCAAGCACAGGTTCTCCTCCCTCACCCACAAACTCTAAAACAGAGGGTCCAAATCCACCTGCCCCCAAACCCTATGCAATACCCTGGCTTTTGGGATATCCACCCAACCAGGACCTAATCCATTTTCTGCATCCATGGGGGATCCATCCTTCTACAGCATCCAGCTCTCCCTCCTGTCCCAGTGGGCACTGCTGGTGTGGCTGCAGGGAGGAACAGGGAGCAGTCAGGAGCAAACACACCCTTGTCTAAGGCAATAAACCAGTTACTCACTCTTTTACCCAACAGAGCAGCTGTGAGCTGGATTAAAGCCTACTTACCTTCATTACTGGGATTTTCCAGAAGAACCTAAGAGAACAAGGAGCCTGTGCACTACAAGCATTCAAAGAGAAATGAATATATGATTTCCTTCAGCATATTTAACTCTCGCAGCAGGTACAGCCCAGTGCTGACCTTTTACAGGAAGCAAATACACAGCAACTGGTGTTGGTTTCCCGCAGTGTCTTTTGAGAGTTGAACCACATTTTAATTCCCTTTGATGATGCACACACACTAACTTGTGCTGAGAACAAAGAGAGAGCATCCCAAAATAAAGGACAGGAATATCTGCTTCTCTTCAAACTTGCTTTGTTTATTTTTTAATTTGCTGATTAAATCTTAAATCTTATCCTCAGCCAGGTGTAAGGGTGAACAGTGCACATTCCCAGAAAGGAGAGGACTTGATTAGAAAGATTCTGTCCTGCAGCACATTGGACTGTGAAGCTGCCAGCTGGAACAGTAACAGGTAACAATGTGAATGTCTGGATGTACTATAGCTGTAAAGGAGCAGGAGGAGCCATTTGAGTAATGTTTGTGCACACATTGGACAGAACTGCTCCTTGCTTTTAGCAGGCTGGGGAACAACAGCTTCTCTGGGGAATCAGCTTCCAAGATCCCAGGGCCTGTGATCCAAAACGGACCCAAAAAGAGGAAGATGTCTTCCAAAACTGCAGGAAATAAACACAGGAAACAAAAAAAAAACATTAAACAAATACTTCCTGTATCTAGTCAGACTGAAAAATAGCTAAAAGTTTTGAGCAGAAGATCATGCCAGTACCAATCCGGACACCAGTGTAGAAACAAATAAAATGTGGTGTTACTGGCCAGGAGAAATGGAAAGACACAGGCAGGTGAAGAGGGGAAAAAAGGGGTTGGATGCTGTGATTCTGTGTGCTGAGAGCCTAGAACAATCCCAAAAGATCTTCCCTGAGCAGGGAGCATTGCTGGGGGGGAGATTGCAGGGACGGGATCGCTGTCTTAGCTCGCTTGCCCTCTGCCGGATACCAGGAGCTCCTGGGTAGAGTCAGCTCATTACAGTCCAGTGCTGCCTTTCTGAAGAGCTGCATGCCCTGGGAATGCAATGGGAGTGGGCAGGAAAAAGCTGAAGAGAGGGCTAGAAATTGCAATGAATACAGAAAATTTTGGAGGGTGAGCTGAGAAAAAAAAAAAAAAAAGAAATATCACAGAAGGATAACTCTTGCCACTTGGGTTTCTTTGAATTGCCCATTGTCTCAATGAAACAAGATTTTTCTAACTCAGGTTCTCAAGATTTATGCATCTGTCTCCCTGAAGGACATTACCACTGCTGTCTAGTGCTGCATCAGTATGCCTAGAAGAGGTTGTCAGGAGGATACTGCATCCTTTTGTCCAAGCAAGACTACCCTGCCCCATGGAGAGGAGATGGGGGCACAGCTGGTGTTATAAAAATACGTCCAGCTTTCAAACACCTCCAGCAACTGAGCCAATACAGAAACAACCCCAGCCCAATGACTTTTGTGAGCCAGCCTGACCCAGCAGAGCATAAACACAAAAGATCTCCTAGGAAATAGCTTTTGTATCCCTTAATTTCATGGGACAGGTCAGGGCAGGTAGCTGCATGGAAGCCAGCCAGGATTGCTGTATACCCACACCACCAGCAGCCTGCACAAGAGCTCCCACAAGGTTTAAGTCATGGTATGTGGGAAAATGGAACCTCTCTACACAAACTATTTACATCAAAAAAAAAAATCAACACCGGTGATAAGCACATGGAGAGGCTTGGGAGCAAGCTCAGCATAATCCACATGTCACTGAGATATTGCCTGCATCCTCCCAGGCAGGTGGAGTCTTTCTTAGGACACCTTGAAGATCCCCCACTTCTGAGAATTCACTGGAAAACCTGCTCTGGTGTGGCAGAGATGGGACTCAACCACGTGGCTTCCTGTACTCAACACTGTCACTTGTAAAATTACCACGTTGCCCTCTATACCCACTTTTCTCCCACAAAAGCAAGTAGATGCTTCCACTCCAGCATGACAGTGACCTCTCACATGAAGACAAGGGGTGTCACTTCATCAGTGTTGACATTGTGCCAATAAACACAGTCATTACTCAAAGAAGGGCAGAAGCACAGTGAACAGTGTGAAGTGTTTGGTAAACCAGTTCACCACATTGGTCTGAACTGGGAAGAACTGTGAGAGATCAGCCTGCCAAACCCTCTGCTGGAGTCCTTCCAAATTACCCAAGCCAGCCAGGAGAGCAGTGGCTGGGAAACTGATGGGATGGGGTGTTTGCAGGCAGCTGGACCTCCCTGTGTCTATACTAACTTGGGGGCGGGGGAGTTGTGCTCTGTGACTCACCCACACACCTGGCAGCATGGCAGTGCCCTCCACTCTGCCCAGCAGCTGGGCTGGAGGAAGTTGTGTGTGTGATCCCAAGGAGACCCACTCTGGAGCTGGGCCTGGGTGCTGCGGTGCTCTGGCTGGGCACCAGGCAGTCTGGCTGTAGCTCCATGGCTGCAGCACACAGACCTGTTCCATCACTGCTTCAGTCCATGTCCTGTTCCTGCCCATGTGTCTAACCCATGGGATCACAGGGGACATGACTCTTCTACCTGAGCTTGTCCCCAGAATGGGACTCTTCTGCTAGGCACATTACTCATGCACCCACGCATGTCCTCTATAAGGTCTGGAGCTCAGCAGCCAAGATCCAAGCTCACATGCTCTGGATTATCAGAGGCACTGCTTCAAGACACCCAGAACGCTTTGGCAGGTCCCTTGAACATGAGCAGGTCAGAGTTTTGGGTGTCTGCTTTCAAACCCACTCTGGAACTGGCAGCATGGATGCCACAGTGAACTTGTGGCTGCCACAGCCAAGTGTGAGCCCAGGAAGACTCACAGGGCTGTAATTCTCACTAGGACAGTAAAGCCACCATCCCCTGGAATGACAGTGAACTGCCCCAAGAAGAGAACAGTTGTGCTGGTGTAACTGCACTGGGGATTCCAGTAAGCTTAGCTAAAGTCACTCACATGTCACATCATGTCCCACCCTTGACCCACATAGCTCTGTGGGTACAAGTCTGTACCAGTGCTCTGGCCAGAAAAATTAGACATAACAAATATATTTTTAAAGAAAGGAGGAGGAACATTTTTCAGGCCTAGGGGGTAGAGGGTGTTGGCCTGAACTGCAGGAGAAAGTTCAAGGTCAAATCCTCCTGCATGCAAACCAGCTCCTCCAGCAATGCTTTGCAGCACTTCCAAGTATCAACCCCTATTCTAACATCATCTATACAAGCACCTCTCTGCTTTAGGCACACTCTTATTTCTGAAAAATGTCAGGCTGTAAATCAGTTCTGCTCCTAGGTGGTAAAGTCCTCCAGGTAAGGCCAGTGTCCAGATAATACCTGAAAACCATGTGACAGCCAGGTGATGCTGCCTGGTGATGCTGCCAGGTTATGCAGATGCATCAGTCTGTACTTCTCATTCAGGATCTAAATGGAAGGTTTGGCCCATAGTTCTTGTTCTCACCTCTCTTCCAGCAATGGGACAGACAGGTGGACAAGCAGCTCATAACTTAAAAACCCTTGACCACTCTCAAGGGACACCTGTCCAAAACTCCTTTCCCAACACAGTTTGCCCAAAGCCTTAATATAGGTAGTAAATGTCCCAGCCAAACAAAGGGCTACTTTGTGGAGTGACCTTCAGTCACATGAGCTAAAACCGGACTGAAGTCCTGTCTTGGGCCTCACTGCCAACAGATGAAGTCTTATGAGCTGGTTTTCTTGATTTGTTTTGGGTTTTTTAAAGTATTTCACTCTTCTCATTGGTAGGGGCAAGTGGTTGACTGTAGGGAAGGAAGTGATGAAGGCCACCCCACTTACAACTTTTGTTGATCTCACTCATCTCTCCCAGCCTCTGCCACAGCAGAAACTGCACAGGTTAGATTTGCAAAACAAAGCTATCTCTTCAAATATGCTGACAACTCAGCAATTTAGTGAGCAGTATTTCCTGCAATGAAACCTCCTCTTGTAGGTATGATTCCTCCCCTGAAGATATGTCCTTGTGTACTGCAGATTAATCTCTGTCCTATGGTCATGGTATTCCTTCATTTTTATTGTAGCAAATTATTTCCAGGAAAAATATTGTATAAGGAAATTAACTGTGCTACAGATGCTAAAAAATGCATCTTGTATGGCTTAAAGCAATCAGCATGATCATTTTTCTACTCTACCCATTTTCAGTTCCTTGCCACCCTTAAAAATTATTGAAGAAGTTGTATAATAGAGGCGTGGCAATTTTGCCTCGAGGTCTTTACCTGTTCTTCAATTCAGTTAAATCCTCCACAGAATATTTTTTCAGTACCTATGACTTCAAAGCGCTCTTGTTAAGTGCATCCTTTATAGTGTTCCTCACCATAGGTGTCCCATGGACTTCACAAAGATTTTGGGGGGGCACTTGGCAGCCCTTCCACAAGGTTTAGCAGAGCCACACAGCTGGAGGGGCAGCTCTGGCCATCTCACAGGAAAAAAACATCAGCAGAGCAGTGTGCCAAAAACTCATGCTTCAGTTCCAAGCAAGAAAATCCAATAACAGAAACCATGCCACAAACATCTGTGCTCTTGCCTTGGCCAGGTGAAATGGGCTTCTAATTGGCCTCTCCCTGAAAATGATCCAGGGCAGCAGTCCTGAGGATTGTGCAGTACAGATGAGCAGTGGTTTTGTTCCTCAAAGTGCTCCCATCCAGGCAGTCCTGCTCCTATGTGTTCACCAGTTGGGCTTACAGTGGGCCACCTTCAGGCCTCCTAGATCAGCCAGGGTCACCCTATCTCCACTGAGGTCTGTCAGCCCAGGTCTGTCTTTGGAGGAGGTCTGATGGGCTGAGCCATTTGTCCTCCAGGCTGCCCACAGAGACCCACCTGGGGCTGTCTGGAACACAGGGAACAGATCCTTCCTGTGATGGCTCACCTTGTCCTGCAGACACAGATCTCCTTTTGCTGGGGCCTGGTGATTAGAGAACTGTTCCCAGTGCCAGCTTCTCCTTTGTTTCCTGGCTGTATGCTGGGACACGCTGGCTTCATGTTCAGATTTTTCAAATATTTTGCATTGTGGTTTTCCATGCAGTGCTCAAGATATTTTGCAAAAGGCACCTTATAAATTGACTCAATAAATACACATAAAACACCATGTTTAATCCTTCCTTTCACATTCTTCTCTTCATTATTAAAATGTCCCAAACCTACTGACTCCTTCCCCACTCTGTGTTTAGGCCAGCCCAGTCCAACTTAAAATACTTTTGGCCTCCACAGGAAGACTGGAAAATGACTATTTTGTTTCAAGAAAGCTTGTTTTGGACTAAAATCAGACCTTGTTAATGGTCAAAGCAAAGAATGGCTGTACGGACTCTCACATCAGGTGCACAAAATAATCACAGCATTGGTGGTGTTTTCATGCCAAGGGACATGCCAGTGCCATACAGCAATGCCTCCACTCAGCAACCCTTCCTCATTAGGGCACTCTGAATGGGAAATCATATGTACAAAAGAAAAAAATTCTGAAGGATGGAGAGGCGAGCAGTATGGATACAGCCTTGGGGACAGTCAGGGCCTGCCACACCTCTGGAAGCATCAAAAAGGTATCTGACTGCAGTGCATGAGTCCTAAAAAGTGGGTTCAGCCACTCCAAAAAGCAGGTGAGATGGGCATTGGTTTAGAATTGACTTTTGAGGAAGATCTATCAAACCTGCTTTTGTTTCCTCATTTGTGTGATGTTTGCACTTTATCCAGCACCAGGGATGTTCAGCCATCCAACTCTCTGCTTTCAGCAGTCTCCAGGTCCCATTTTCTCCTTGCAGCCCAGCTGTGCTCAGCACCAAGAGCCCCTGGTTCAAGCACCAAGAACCAAAGTTCTCCATGCATTAAAAAAATGAATGGGCCGCGGAAACAAGAAGTGGTGAAGGTGGCACTTTATCCTGCATTGACCTGTGCTCTGCACCTCAGAGGTTTTCTTCAGCAGCTGAGAGATGGAGAGCTAAGTATCAGAAGAGCATTTTGTATATCATGGGTAGTACCTGAGCATTCAGGATTTGTCACCAGGGGACAGAACCTCATCTGAAAATACATGAACTAAGCTTTGCTCTCTGCAGAACAGCCACAGGGCACAGTGGGAGACTCACACCATCTATAGGGGCAGGAGGGCACCCTCACCTGACAGGGCACAAGTCCCAGGGGATGATATCCATGCTCTTTAACAAAACTGCAAATAAGGTCTCATCAGGTCACAGGTCTCTCGGAACAGCTGAGAGACCACATTAGCCCAGATTTTGTCCTGGAGCCCTAACCCTGTGGTTTAACTTTCTTAAGAGATTTCTCTAAGGATCACAATGTTCTGGACAAAAGACCTTTGGGACCTCTTGGGTAAATGTGGGCATTTTTTGTATTCCTTACCAGCCTCTGGCTGCATTAATACCTTAGCTATTTCATCACAGGCCTCTCATGCCTGTTAATATGTCTTTTGGACTCATTTCAGCCCACAAGCCTTCCAGTTCCACAGTTCTGCTGTACAGCCTTGCCCTTTTTCAGAAGAAGCTGAGCGCTGTGGTCTGGAGGTTAAGGCCCTGGAGACTTGTGCATGGGACAGCTGGCTTCCATGCCTGGCTTGCTACAGCCTTTTACCCTTTGCATCCCTCTGAGCCCAGTGGAGGAATTTTGGTGTTGGAAGGAGAGGGAATTACCTGTGCATGAGCACATCCATCTGCATCCAACGTTCTCGCTTCTTCACGGATAACCCCAAAACATCATGGTAGCAGTGAGGCCAGGAAGAACGCTGGCTCAGCCAGCCATATCCTAGACTTGTACAGCTTTAGTGTACAAGACCTGAATAAAAGAGAGATCAGGCTGTTTTGTTTGATAAATGAAGGGACAGACTCATCTTTTGACATAACTCCATTTAAAAATGGCCACAGGCCCAAATGGAGCTTTGTATTCAGCATCTAAAAGGGAAAGTTCTTTTCACAGTATTTTTTTTTACTTTTCTTTGCAGAAATATCTTGGTCCAGGGGTTAGGAAGAGCCTGTGTGTAGAGCCAGAGACAGCAAACCCAGACCCATGCACTTAATGAA